ATTTGTTGTAGGATCAAGTCAATCCATTATCAATCCTGTTATGGTGCTGCTTTTATGAGAAACTACTTCCGTGAAAGTTCTTGGGCATTATAACATTTTCTGCATGGTTGGTTTGGAGTTCTCTAATCAGATGACATTTGTCTTCAAAGGAAATAGTTTTATGATCAGCCTGATTTAAGACTAAAGTAGCAAAATGGGCAGCTGCTAAAATTTGTTAGCAACAGTCTGTCAGACTTTGGAAAAAACCCAAGGGCCTGCGTCAAGGGACTTTTGTTTGCTTCAAGCAGGTTTTGCATACCCATACAGGTCTATGACGCAAATGCAAAACCCATTTGAAGCCGGTGAAATGCTGGTCAGAATGCAGTCAACTGAAGGTCAAATGCACTGTAAAGGAATTCTGAATCACCTCAGGACTCAAACCGATGCCGTTGACACAAGCTAAAAACCTGTCAATACAGGCATTGAGCAACGAGGACAACAGGAAATAACTTTTCTCCCTTTCTGAACTAAGCCAGCTGTAGGTCTCTTACTCTTCAGATATGCAGTTCCTTCAGAATTATATTACAGATTCCATGGAAGTTTTTATTTTCAGAGTTAACTCTTTTGGAGTTACTTATGCTCCTTGTGTGCATAGACTGGTTGGATAGCTACAAAACTCCACAACGTTTAATGAATTACATTTTAAATGGGCAGATTGGTACAATTGTGGCACATAAATGAAAGAACATCAACCTGCTTGTGAATAATCTTAATAGATTCTATTCCCCCAAAAAATCTCGAGATACAGATATTTTGAACCTTAAGAGATGATTGCACTTTTAGTGCAGGTCCTTTCACTTATCTAAAGCGATTACTATCACCCTCACTATAGTCTGCAGTTCCAGGCTTCTGGGTAGATATATTCTGCTTTACTGAGGAAGACGCAACTGAAGAGAGCCCTGGGCAAGATGGGAGATCTCCCTTTATTGGCTACTCTGTGCAGTTTCTTCTTCTGTATGGTAAGAGGTAGGGAAGCACCGATACTGCTATTGCGTTATCTAGTACAAGTGCCGATACCGAGTACTGGTACCGGTACTTCCGCTAGCATGGAGCCGGCCAATCGGGAAGCCGGGTAGCGTGTCATTACTCACCGCCCAGATTCCTGATTGGCCAGGAAGCCCACTGTATGTTCCCTTGCGGCACTCCTGGTCAAAGGAAATCTCCCTCTGGCCGGAAGTATCGGGGGTAATTATCTGAGCATCAGGGTGAGTATGAATACTCACCCAAATACTTGGTATTGGCACCAATACTAGTATCGTTGCATCCCTAGTAAGGTATACAGAAGTTGGGAAATGTACAGATCTGAAAATAAGATGCAACGGGTAGGCAAACTTTGCACTCCAGCTCTGGTGAAACAACAAATCCCACTAGGCATTGCAAGACTCTGACAGCCACAGGTGTGATTTGTAGTTTCACTACTGCTGGAGTGCTGAGCTTGCCTACCCCTGAGATACTGTTTCCTAATATCGCTTTTTGTATAGTTTGCTTGGACAGCGACTGCTAAAGGATCTGGAGTTACACTGAAGGCAACAAATACACCTCTGCATTTTTCATGTGGTGTAGTTGCAGTGCAGTGTATTTTACACGCAATACCATTTTATCTCTTCACAAGGTTTTATGTTTTTTTCTGAAAGTAAAATTTGGAGTGTTTTTTTTTGTAATGCACCACACTAGAATGCAAAGGTGTGAATGAAGCCTTAGTAAGTAAAGGCACTATGAATGCTTTAAGATCAAGATTTTTTTTATACAGCACAGAATGGCTCATCATGGAAGAACTAGGCTGCCCTGATGTGAAGAAATGAATATTGAATGTCTTCATACCAAATAGGGGGGAGGATGTGCATGCATTCACAAGATGAATTTTATTTTCTTCAGCAACTCTGTCTTTACTTGCATATTTCTACGCAGTTTGTGTTGGCAGGCGAGTCTCTCAAAGGGTACTTTGCCTGCAAATGTGTGTGTAAATATTCCTGCTCATGTGTACAATTGATATCTTGAATATGGTCCTCGGTTATAACCTGTAATGGGAAAATACTTCTACCTTTCTACTAAATTTAGGTTTGAGGTTTTGATGGCAGCTTGCCGACATGTAGATACAGTAAAAAAAACAACAAAAAAACAAACATATTCATTATATCTGTATGGCTTTATTAAAGTGCAATCCTTTCTAAGTCAGTAGCGTTTTTATTATCTGTTCAGTTCTGCATTTGTTTTACATTATAGATTAAGATGTACTTACACCTATACATTTACCTATCATGCTTTTTTTTATTGGGCATTACTTTGTGCATTGCCGTGCTCTGCCATTGGGTTCAGTAGACACCTTGGTACATATTGGCAGATAAAAAAAATGTAAAACTCCATTACTGACCAGCATGTCCTGCCCAGGACTGACCAATGGCCAAGATGGGAAACCTGAGCTATTCTCAGATAGGGGACTGTGTAAGTTGGTTGGAAACTAGTAGGTTCCAGTGGCCTCACTGTGACCCCTGAGCTCCAGAGGAGTGAAGGGTAACCTCCTGCCCTACATACAGGTGAAACTCGAATAATTAGAATATCGTGCAAAAGTAATTGCTGCAAAAGGGGCCAAAACCAAGTACTGAGTACATATGCATGCTTGTACTTTTCAGAGGTCCGATATTGTTCTATGTACAATCCTTGTTTTATTGATTGCATGTAATAATCTACTTTTTTGAGGTTGTGGATTTGGGGTTCTTGGGGTTTTCATGAGCTGTAAGCCATAATCATCACAATTATGACAAATCACGGCTTGAATTATCTTGCTTTGCATGTAATGAGTCTATCCCATATATTAGTTTTACCTTTTAAGTTGCATTAGTGAAATAAATGAACTTTGCACGATATTCTAATCGAGTTTCACCTGTACTGCGATGCTGCACATCTGTGCTTCACATTGACTCTCTGCAACCCGGAACACTATAGCACTTCATGCCTTCCTTGTATCCTCATGCACATAAGAATGTGACCATTCCTGGAACAGGGAATTGTGGATGATATTCTGTCTGATATGCTGGCTATTATTTATCTGGCTATTCAGGGAAATAG